GAAATAATGTAAATTAACAATATTATGTGGTTTAAGGTTAAACCAGCTTTTAATAATATAATAATAATAAACGTGATCTCATTTAAAATAATGTATTTATTAATAATTCTGAGAAACCTAAAGATTTTCACGCAGAAGAACCGTGTTTAGGCACGAATGGGCCAGAAACCTAGCGTGAAATTTATGAATGTTGCTTTTTTTTTAAATGGAAAGCATCCAATGACTTCTCTCGCCTGGGTGAGGCGAGAGGGAATGTCAGACTCTTACTGACTAAAAACCACCCCGTTCATACTCCTGCACTTCGAGCCGGAGCCCCGGTAACCTGTTAAGTCTTCCGCGGCTCCGTGTCGGCATCAGCCCTATTAGGCCCCACTGTGGTGGTCTGAAGACTCTTTGCGCAAGAACGCGACGCGTCGTACGCTCGGGAAATGAATGCTGCTTGCCCCTAGGATTATGTCCTATGTCGTGACTTGTGGGTGCGTTTACAAACATGTTCTTAAAAAGGTTTTTAGTTTAACTTGTATGTACTTGTATGGACTGCCTCTTTGGCCGAGTGGTCGTAAGTGCGACTGCCGGGCAAGGGGTCTCGGGAATGATTCCCGGGTCGGGCAAAGTATTACTGGGTTTTTAAATATTCTCAGTAGTAGCACGGAGTCTGGAATGGTGCCCGGTATATATGGCAATAGGCTCACCCCCTATTACACGGGACTCATAACATAAATAGTGAAAAGTGGATGTTACATTGTATAGTGGTATAATGTGCACCTCTGCCTACCCTTTCGGAGATAAAAGGCGTGATGTTATGTTTAACTTGTATGCACTTATTATTTGTTGACGATTATCTCGCTATTGACTGAATCGATTTCGATGCGGTTTTCGGAAGTGTTTGTTACACTTTTCGTCAGCGGAGACGTCAGCGAAGCAGCTGATAATGTTTATGAAATAAATACTAGAATGTTTTTAAATTTTATACACCATATTACCAAACAATATTTTAGCCTTATTTTTTAATCAACAATTTACATAATAGTTATGCCGTTCTGGTCCGCTCTGTGGCGTAATGGAAACATGACAGTGAAAGCAAAAGCCACTGCACTGGTCAGTTCGAGCTGGCTGAGTGAGGTTAGATACATATACATATATAACAACATGGGTTGCAACTGTGTTGTGTGTTACAGTAGAGTACATTTTTTACCACCGCTCGTCTTCTCGTGGGTACGCGTTATGTTCTACGCTTTAGAAAGGGACCGTGATGTTCTCTGATTAATCTAGAATACCTATTTGAAGTTTTTCTCCTATGTTCTGGGTACGTTGACAAACATACAATTTCACATATACGTGACGTTCTCACATGTATAATTATATACGTTAGGTAAAGGATCAGATGTTTTTTTTTGCCCCACACTAGGGTTTTCTTCTGTGTCGTGGGTGCGTTTACAAACATACAAATTCACATACACATGACACCCATGCCCGAAACAACAATATTAGTGGAACACACTAAGTGTTGTTCCGTGCGGGAATCTAACCCGCGACACGTTGCACAGCAGTCGGTTGCCCAGCCACCGCACCAACCGTGCAGTCAATGAAACTGTAAAACACATTTTTTTTTAAAGTAACGATTGAGTTTCTTTCTCGTTCTTCTCCATTCGAAACTACACTTGCCTACCTAGCTATACTGACCGACAGATAGACGGACAATTAAATTTTTGACGTTTTAAAAGTACAATTAGTTAAGGATTAATTGAAATAAATGCTTTGACTTTGACTGGACATAGTTCGAAACTGATATTAACTACTGAGAAATTTTCGAAACATTACCGCTGCATAGAAAGAAAGAAGAAGAAGAAAGAAAAATCGTTTATTTGCACACCGTCACAAGGTACCTACAATAACACAAAAAAAAAATACAGTGAAGGCGGCGCAAAAAGGCCAGAGCTCAGCTTAAACTGTCAAACACCAAGCGGTCACCGGTGACCGCGACCTATTGTTCTTTAATTGTGTCTATAAAACCGGTACTCGACGAGTTAAATGCCGTGACCCGAGTGCGTATATATGCATAAACTCAAACTCAAACGGATACATTTCGGTGAGTGTGCGTGGGAATTGCACAAACTTATTCCCCCTAGTCCATTTCACCACCGTACCACCAGACGAACGGCGGGACGCCACCCTTATATGCTGGACATTCCACCCATTTGAACGAAGCGTTTCGCGTCAAGCTTCCTCATGCGAACCGCTAAGGAATGGAATTCCTTGGCAGAGGCTGTGTTTCCCGTCAGATATGACTTGGGTGTCTTCAAGTCCCGAGTGAACAGGTTGCTCATAGGTAGGCGTGCTCCATCGTCGGCCACATCATCGCTTACCATCAGGCGAGATGGTGGTCAAACGTCGACCTATAAAGTATAAAATAAATAAATAATAAATAAACTCAAAAGCATTTATTTCAATTAAACCATAATTTGGTACCTTTGAAACGTCAACAAATATGAAATAAATAATAGTCTATCAGTCTGTCCGTCAGTGAAGCTAGGCGCTCGTTCCAAAATGTCGATTCGAGTGGAGAAGAACGAGCAAGAAACTCCATTCTTTGAATACCTCTTTTAATACCCCATACATTATTAAAAGGTTAAAGTTATAGATGCACACTCAACCCATGATATAGGTACCATGACAAGAAAATTACCACCTATCAAACAAAGAGCCGTGACGTGTCAAATGACGTCATGACTCGACTCAGCCGTGCATGCGACGCGAGCTCGAAGGCTACACGTGTCGCACACACGACAACACTTCAAACTATGCATAACAATAATAAAATGACCGTCGATTGTGCTGTTAGATTGTACAAAGTCAGATCAGGATAACCTGGTTTTTATAGCTGCATGCATCAAGCGAAGTACCAGTATAAATTGAACGTCGGATGTACCGATAGATCATACAAAACGAGTCCAGGATAAATTGGTTTGGTTGTTGGTGGTCAATGTGTTCATATCGCAACTATAAACCGTAGCCAAGAGGCCTGAGATACAGGACAGGTGGTGTTATGCTTAAAGATACTTATTAGATAGGTTATAGAAACTGAATTTTGACACATTTTGTATGGAGCTCATGTCAAAATTCTATCTCTAGTAAGCAAATCTACAGATAGATAGGTTATAGAAACTGGACGTTAGAGTTAAGATAATAAGTATCTTTAAGCATGAGTCTAAGTAGGTCGGGGGTAAGTGTGTAACATCGAAACCTACCAACGGCAAGTACCAATGTGACTTCTTCCGAGTTATATGTACTTTCTAAGATTATCTAGACACCACTGACAAACGGTGAAGGACAACATCGTGAGGAAATCTAGGATTATGATTTCTAATTGTAAGTTTGAAATTGCCAACCCACCCGCATTGGTTATGCTCAAACCTTCTCCGTGTGAGAAGAGGCTTTGCTCAGCAGTGAGCATTTATAGGCTGTTGATGATGATGTTGAAGCATGCGTCTGTGAGTGATACCACGTCTTAACACTGGAACTGAAAGGGGTGTTACACGTTTACAGTTTGGGAAGAACACCTAGCTTCATTGACGGACAATTCTTTATTTGTTGACGTGTGATATACCGGCGTGATAATACCAAAGCGTTGTGTGCAGTGAGATTTGTTGCTTGGTTATGGAGTCTTGCTATCAAAGCATATAGTTCGGAGTAATACCAAGGCCTCACAGGACCCCCCGTGGTAATGGGAGTAACGTTGAGGTCGGTAACGCACTTGTAACCTTTCTAGTATCGCCGTGGAGAACTTAACAGGTTAACGGAGCCCCGGCTCCAAGTGTAGGAGTAGGAACAGGGTGGTTTCTAGTCAGTAAGAGTCTGAAACTCCCTCCCGCCTCACCCAGGCGGGAGCAGTAATTCGATGATTTTCCCCCCTTAAAAAAAATACCTTTCTAGTATTGCGGTTGTCCATTAGCGGTGATTGTATGATGATTAATTGGATCAGTGATCCGTTTATTTGTTTTCAATAAAGAATACTATTTCCTACATGTTTTCCTTCCAAAATCTGATTTTTATACGCGCAGTCGCTGGCAAAACCAAAGTTGTATAGTTACATTAAGTTTACAGCCAGGAAAACAATGAATATTTTATAGAACGCACTATAAATACCAAGTTTTCTCGTTTCACAATATCCCTACCTATTTAATCTCGGTTATCAGTTCTATATTCGTTATCATACCTTTGTCCAGCGCCAGTAAATCTTGCATGAGCTGAACAAAGACATGTCAACGGCGTAGTGTGTCGTGCGTGACGTCATCCCGTCATGCTTTATATCGAACGTGTGGCTTTGTGTTGCAACCGAGTTACTACGTACTCATTTACAGTCAGTTTCCATAAACTGTGTTAAGTGTGGGAGAGCCATGCTTCGGCACTGCTGGGCCGGCTCGACCGGAGTGATACCCCGGCCGAGCAGAAAATCGACGTGAAACAACGCTCGCGTGGTGTTTCGTCGTGTAAATGTGGTTACCAGAGACCCAATTACGCTCCCCTCGCCTTTCCCCAATCTCTCAATCTCCTTTGAATCCTAAATAATCGTCAAATTCCTAATCCCCAAATGCTAGAAACGTACTTGTAACGCCTCTGGTGTTCCAGGTGTCCATCTGCGACGCCGATTGCTTACGGTGTAGTGTACCTATCGTGAATCGTGACGTCATCCCGTCTCACTCATTTACAGCCAGTTTCCATAATCTTTCTTTTTAAGCCGAAAATTTAATCTAATTACACTTTCTGCTCCCTGTGAGGTTCGGCAAAAATCCATCAAAATCAACCCAGTGCTTTCGGGGTAGTTGCTAACTGATAAACACACGTTTGCGTTGATAATATTAATGTATTGTCACAAAGAATCAATAATAGTTTTCTTTTTGTCATCGTTTGTTGATATTGACAAATATTTTTGACATTTTCACGCTTACTTCTGTAAATAATTTGCATTCGTAATTAACAAAACATTAATCTTGTTACAGCGATGGCAGCAGCGCAGGCAGTCCAAAAGAGGCGTGCGTGGCGGCGTCCCCGCCCCCTGCGCCGGCGCCGGTGAAGCGCGACGTGCGCCACCACCACCCCCACTCCCATCCCCAGCATGTGCAGCACCAGCCACACGGACAGCACGTCCAGCATCCACAGCACATGCACCATGAACAACATTCAAGACCGCTTAGTATAGGTAGGTACATCACCTATAGCCGTCGTAAGACTGCTTCTAAATATTAAAGACATACTAAATGAATGGGGTATACTGTATTTTACCTCCCTAGATGGAAGAAAGAAAGAGAGAAAAATAATTTATTTCGCTGCCGCTACTGTGATCCACTCGGTTTGCGTCCAATAGGGAATTAGCTAGTGTAACACTATTGGACGTTCAATATTTGACAGTTGCAGTGATTGGATAGTAATTAATTAGGTAATTTTGGCCAAAAAACGGTGGCCGCAGTTTAGTTTATAGTCAAACTAGCGACCCGCTCTGACTTCACACGGGTGCAATATGCATGTATTATACATATATTTAAGCCTTCCTTAAGAATCACTCATCTATTAAAGAAAGCCGCATCAAAATCCGTTGCGTAGTTTTAAAGATCTAAGCATACATAGGGACAGAAAGACGGCGGATAGCGACTTGGTTTTATACTATGTAGTGATATGGCTCACATGATTCATAGAAAAATCGGGTACTCATGTAAACTATTCGTGGAAAGCTCTCAAATAGAGATATCAAGCACTCTCGAGCTGCTAATGGTTCTGAATCCCAGTGTGGCTCCAGTCACTCTGGTCCAGTCACACAGCTGTTCTCGAATAGTTTACCTGATTCCAAGGGACTTCTAAACATGCTGTAATTTGATTTCCAGTGTTTACCAAACCTTAAGGTATCCATAATCAGATAGTAGTCGTGAAGTGAAAACGATGGTGGTAGAATCAAAGGTCTTTCCGTACTTCTTATTCTGACATATAAACTCCTTGTTCCGAAGGCGGCGGAGCGGGCGGGTCTCGGCGCGCCGAGCGTCGGGCCGCCGGTCCCTCCGAAAGACGCCGAACAGGTATTGCGCACCCTCAATGGTTACCCTCACAAAAATGGCTTTTGAGATTGTGTAGAGAGAGTTGCTTTGAGAATGACTGCAGAATAAGGAGATGCAAGATGGATTTAAGGGTCGGCAAGGCGCATGGCCATCAAGGTCCATAGGCCACGGTAACCGCTTCCCATCAGGTGTACCGTGGGATATTTTGCCACAGTCGTGGTATAAAAAAAAGTAGACGCTTTGAGAGCATCTGTGGTGTGCTGTTCGTAACGTGAGGGTCTGATTTCCATATTAAATAGTTCTTTGTGTGATACACATTTGTGTGGATCAAAAGTTCAATGAAGAAGAATTTATACGTGATCTTCTTAAACTTCATTCATTAATGGTGCTTTGAAATGGTATCGAAATGTCCTGTGTTATCATTTCTATTGTGTCGAATTACAGAGATGCGAGTCAGTCCAGGAGGTGCCGGACCTTCGGCGGATCCTCCACACATGATGCATCATCACCATATGGTAAGTCTACTTCCATTTATAACCTTCAGTTCTAGAGGTATTTAACTTCTATCCTCCAGATTTTACTTAATTGTGTACTTGCCAACTAGTCAAAATTCAATGCTTTTTTCGAACTGTCAAAAACGACAGTTTTCTATTAATTGTGTATTGTGACATCACGTTTTTTTAGCATCAAACAGCATACTTATTTCTTAAAAATTTGCTGGAAAAATACTAAAATTAAGTTGGTCATAAAATCAATTAATGAAAGTGTGATTATTTTTTAATAATTTATTGTTTGAACAGTCGAAATATGTAATTTATTTTTGATTAAGAAAACTACTCAATTAGTTGATTCAGTGACGGAAAATTTGTGTTGACTTTCAATACTAAAGATCTTTTGATCGCTTCGCATCAGTACTCGACTTTATCGTTTAAAAATAAGGGTTGCAAATAAAATGTATCGACCACGAAGTCTACCCTTAGATACACTCGATTTTCAGTTTCAAAGTTCTCAATCGCAAAAAGTTGCTTAGATTTGTCTCAGGCCTTTGACAGGCTCATAAAAATATAACGTAACTGGGTGTTTCATAAGTATGCAAACTTTTGGGAAAGGTGACATCTGATACATGTTTCGTTTATCCATTTTAGGATACCAATCCCTTAGAAGGCTCAGTGGAGTCCATGGTGAGCGGCGCAGGTTCTTCAGACGGGGAGCTGTCCTCGAAGGCTGGAGATAGCCCCAGCAGAAAGCGGAGGCGAATCTCCAGACATCTGTCGTCAGGTAACTTACAGCATATGATTTTTATTAGTTGCGGTAAATACAAATTAAAGATTTTACAACTAAAATAAAGAAAAATAGGATAGGGGCAAAGCAAGAAAAAGTAACTTAACGCGTTAAAAAATTATCCTCATTATTGTAATGAAGTATGGTGCCCAAAAGACTGGCATCATTGCCTCGTTGAATGGCAATGCTTAACCGCTTGAATGCCCGTATATGAGACACAATAGAAAATACATTGGGTCTCGCATGGGTCCACGTTTAGAAACACGACGGTTTAATCTTTGACCAAGATAGAGTAGCCAGCATTTCGATCACCTGAAATATCAACCATCTTCTTTACAATATCTTTGTAACGAAGAGGTGGTTTTGGAACCCACGGCCCTAAAGTAACAAAATAATAACTTATAACTAATAGGGTAGTAAATTTTATTTTAATGTCCGTCGCGTAGGTTATTTTAAAACATTAGACATGTATTTTATATTTTATTACAAAATTTAATACTTTCGACGGTATATTGATTTGAAATATCGTATCGATTATTTGAAATCGTAATAACCTCCCACTTCTCAACTTAACTCGGTTTTCTCTAAGTATTGTTTTCGTATACGACAAAATAAAAAAATACGTGTCTAATATTTTTTCATCATCTAACTGACGGACTAATTACATTTTGAATTTTCATACCCTATTGTGTTTCTAATATACGACTATACATTAAACAACTGCACTATTTTAAAATAACCAAATCAAGATATACATTTTAATGTATAATGTAATTATGATTGCAGGGGAGAGCAACGTGTCAGTGTCAGCGCCGGCCGTCGAACGACGCACGCCCAGACATCACTATCAACCTCCGTGAGTCACTTACTTAGCACTTGTACTCCGAAACTACTGGTTTCAATTGAATAATTCTTTTTGTCTTGAATAGTTTATTTATTTATTAACGCTTCATGCACAAAGTGAACATAAGATGGACTTAATGCCGGCATTTTCTCCACGTCTGACCTTTGGGTGATGCAGAGAAGAGTGATTGGTAGGAGTAAGAAGCAAGCAACGATTTAATAGATACACTAACATATTTCAGAGATAAACATAAATTTTAGACAAAATGACATCATACTATAATCTAGGGCTGTAGGCACATGTCTATATTATCCGCCACTGTGTTGAGAGTGCGCATGTTCATGTAAAGAAAGAAAGAAAGAAAGAAAGAAAATTTTTTATTTGCACACTGATACAAGGAAATAAAATAAGAAACAATACAAAGAAAAAAGACGGCGCAAAAAGGCAAGAGCTCAGCTTAAATGCCGTGACACGAGTGTGCTCGAGTCACGGCGCTGATTTTCAGCACTTGCCCGTTACTAATAAAATATTACATTTAATAATAATAATAGAAAACAGTAAAAAAAATATATATATACAATTCAAAATTAAAATAACAAAAATTATTTGTACAATAAATAAAATAAATAAAATAAATAAAATAAATAAAATAAATAAAATAAATAAAATAAATAAAATAAATAAAATAAATAAAATAAATAAAATAAATAAAATAAATAAAATAAATGAAATAAATAAATCTCCCGAACCAAACATGTATGTCCCTGTCTTTTTATTCTCAGCCGGCGGATGCGATACGTGAACAACGGTGCGGGCACATGGGCGGAGAGGCTGATAGAACCCCACGCGCATCCCGCGCATCCAGCCCATCCCGCGCACCCAGCGCATCCCGCCCATCATACGCATCACACGCACCACGCACATCCACATCATACGCCATTGTTACTGGATATCAATCAGGTAAGGAGAAACGATAATTTTTACAAAATTGATCAATTCAACGGAAAGAAAAAGAGTTTGATTTGAAAGTTGCTCCTATTATTGGTCTTCATAAAAGTCTTTAGACGGCTGCTAGATGCAGGTCAATTCCTATTGGCAAAAAGTTGCGGTGATTGTTATAACTTCTAATAGGCGTTTGACAATATTAATCAGTTAATCACTATATAATTTTGTTTATAGCCGATAAATGTTGAACCTATTCAACATCTAAAGCATTTATTCAATAAAATATGCTTGACTGTGGTCATTAAAACAAAAATTCTCGTGCACAGTTGTATTTTCAAAAAGAAATGTATGGTGTACCCCAAGGCATTATACTAGGTCCTTTAAATTTTTTATATATGGTCGTTAAGACTAGAAATCCATAGGTTGTCAGGAACAGATTGCAGAAAGCCATATTGCTGCCCGGATTATTTTCCGTATATTGGGTTTGTCATATAGTATTGTAGTGTATGTATAATGCAATAAAGAGTTTAATCAGAAAATACTTTAAGTTGACTGCCTCGTTGGTCGAGTGGTCGCAAATGCGACTGCTGGGTAAGGAGCCTCGGGTTCGATTCCCGGGTCGGGCAAAGTATTACTGGGTTTTTAAAAAATCTCAGTATTAGCAGGGAATCTGGAAATGGTGCTCATAACATAAATAGTGAAAAGTGGATGTTACATTGTACAGTGGCATTAAGTACGGTAATGTGCACCTCTGCTTGCCGCTTCGGGGATTAAAGGCGTGATGTTATGTACTAAAAGTTTTTGCTGGCATTCCAGATGTCAGTCCGCGGCACCCGGCTGGGCGCGCTGGGCGGCGTGGGCTGGCACCACGCTCAGCACGCGCAGCACGCCACGCACGCGCGCGACCACGCGCAGCGCACGCAGGTATACTATACACACTGCATCCGTCGCGCCATCATTATGTCGTAGGGACACGGTCGCGATTGAATATTGTGGTTTTGTAGGTCTTGATAATTTTCTTAATGATAAAAAATATATCTTCAGCAGCTGTAGCCAAATGCCACTTAGCGCTTGTCTACATGTAGAATAGAAAACCAAATTATATGGAATTGACGTAAATTTTGTCACTTGTCAGTGTCATACCCATACATTTTGATTTCTACTCTCTCTGTAGACAAGCGCTAAAGTGGCGTTTGGCTAAAGGCACAGTTTATAGGAAATTTGATTTTAAAAAACCTTTTGTAAAAGAAGAATTTGAGTTAACTTTTTTGCAATCAAACTAATGGCTCTGTTAATTTTATCAAAATGTAAAACGATGTTGATGTGACAATTACCCAAATTTCGAGATCGCGAAATTATTTTTCTTATCTTTGTATCGTAATAAAGCTCTGAAGAGACGATAAGATTTGCCTTTATTAAATGGATCTATGTTATGTGAAATAAATGAATTAAAACCGAATTCACATTGAGAATCTTACGACTATCAACGAAGAGATTCATGTCTATATAATCCAACGCAACTCAAGTTTAAGTCGCATGTAATACAGTATAATTCAAGAAAAGAGCGTACTCCTTTTTAAAAGGCCGGCAACGCACCTGTGACTCCTTTGGTGTTACGGGTGTCCATGGGCGGCGCTGATCGCTTACCATCAGGTGATCCGTCTGCTCGTTTGCCTCATATTCCATAAAAAAAGTATAGTTCTGTCTCTATAATTATTTTGTACAATGATAGAGATAGCATTATATCTAAGTACAACTTAAAATGTAGTAGCCTTTCAACTTTAAAAAAGTTTATAGTTCTCAACTTTTTAATCGTATTTTGTCAGCGATTATGCGATAGACATTGCATTAAAGCAATAATAATCTTATTTTAAATAACTTAAAGAATAAACAATTATGTTTTCGACTTACTCACGTAATAATTTGACGAGTGACTCAACTAGTTTCAAGCCATGCTAGAGGCTCATATTCATGAGCAGCATTTCATTAATCATTAAACTATATGCCTCGACTGCCTCGTTGGCCGAGTGGTCGTAAGTGCGACTGCCGGGCAAGGGGTCTCGGGTTCGATTCCCGGGTCGGGCAAAGTATTACTGGGTTTTTAAATATTCTCAGTAGTAGCACGGAGTCTGGAATTGTGCCCGGTATATGGCAATAGGCTCACCCCCTATTACATGGGACTCATAACATAAATAGTGAAAAGTGGGTGTTACATTGTACAGTGGTATAATGTGCACCTCTGCCTACCCCTTCGGGGATAAAAGGCGTGATGTTATGTGTGTATTAAACTATATCTTCGCGCCGTGTCCCTATTACACCAAATCAAATAATTATAACAATTTCTTTCAGTTAACTATAAGCGATTACGTATAAAACAACGTCTAAATAGATAGGTACGAATTAAAGCTAATGTTCACATGACAAAACCTATATTTGTTACCAACATACACACAAACTATTTGGGCCAATATATGTAACCAACGTTTGGCCCAAAACACATTAAAATACAAAACAATCACACACACGAGCATACATAACAATTTATAGGCAATTTATGAAACGTTTCAGGATTTATGTGACGATATTTCCAAACTGCCCATATTATTCAATTAAATATAAGGTGATTTGGAAATTTTGTCGCTTTTTCAGATTTTTGAGGCAGTTTTTTATTTAAATCTACGTCATTTTTAATGGTATTTGTGTCTATGGAGTATTGTAATTAGAATTACTATTCCATAGACAGGGATGATGACGGGGTATGAAAATTAAAAATCTAATTAGTCCGTCAGTTAGGTAATGAAAAAATATTAGACACGTATTTTTTTATTTTGTCGTATAATAAAACAATACTTAGATAAAACGAATCAAAGTTTAGGAGTGGGGGCTACAACGTCATTTCTACGCATAAAACGCATAGAAGTGACGTCACGCGACATTTCAAATCAATATATGAAAGTATTCGTTTCTGTAAGAAAATAAAAAATACGTGTCTAATGTTTTAAAATAATCCAGACTGACATTAAAATAAATATAAGTCATCTACTCTATGTCATACCAGTAAAATGATGGATTTGAAAAAAAAATATCTCAAAAATCAATTAAAAATGATAAGTTGTTATTTTATATGTCAATCTGGGCATTGCATATAACTTTACGAAGACAGGCACACTATATAGGTATCGTATTGTTATATATTAATTATATAAAATTATAATATGTTAGTTTATAGTCTAGTTTTTAAGTGAAAACGGCACTCGAATCGAACTATTCATTTATTTTAATTCCATGGTATTATCATGTCTACTTTTGAAAGAAATTTAGGTTGATAAAATTCATCTGTTTCTAGTTTTTAGGGTCTTAAGGGTCGGCAAGACGCATGTAATGCCCCAAGTGTTGCAGGCGTACATAGGCCACGGTAATCGCTTACATCAGGTGGGCCGTGTGCTTTTTAGCCACCGTCGTGGTATAAAAAAAAAATTTAAAGGGAAAAATAGTCTTAAACAATCTCTGTCTCATGGCTTGTCTCATGGCATCTTTGAGACCTTGCTGTATTACATCTATTTCTGTGACAAAATGTTATAGTAGTTGACGATATAGGCGTTAGAGCATAACAAAAGATATGCGGATCTGAGATTTTGAGTGTTTAGATATCTTCTTTAGGCAATAAAAATTGTAATGGAATGTCCACGTGGATTCTGGCGGTTGCTCATTAAATTATCTTTTTTTTATTGGGGCAATTGTAGTTTCATAGTAGTATGATGATACCATAATAGTGTAAGTTCGATTCGAGTCCCGTGCAATGCTGAGGTGGGTCGGACGTAGGTGACCGCGGCCGGCGTTGGAGCACCCGAGCTCTGGGGCGCCGCCGTCCTGCCGCCATTGCCACACCTGCGCTACCAGGTACATACGAACCCGTATACGTCGTGTACGCGTTTTGCGCAACGAGAATGTGGCTAAAAAATATGATTTTTGTATGAAAATTTATGATTTTTTAGGAAGAAATCTGTTGATCACAGTCAAATTTTGACGTTTCTAAAGCTAATTCTGAAGATTTTCGGTCTAAATTGACAGTAAAAATAAACAATCAACAGATTTGTTCCAATAAATCTTGATTTTTATCAAAATTTTGTACGATACTGCCATGTTTCTTTAAGCTATAGGGTATGGTTGCTCCGATACGATCCCGCTTGTCTATCTGTTAACCTAACTGTTAGTTTGCTAGTTAAATGTAACTGTTATTGCTGTATGTCCCCTCTAATTAGCTAAATATTGCGTAAAAAACGCTAACAGTTGCGCAAAAGTTTGCGCAATTTAGCGCAAGTACTATAATCACATTAAAAATCATCTTGAGATTAATTATTAACTTCATTCCCTTTTAATAACACATTTGTCATTGTAAAACGCTTCTAAACTTAATATTACTAACCATCTAATATTAGTTATAAAAAATATATATAAAGGTTATTAACATAACATTAATTGTATGGCTTACTCATGTAAATATGTCCGATGAGGTTTCTCGATCAATTTCAAGGCATGCTAGGGGCCTACGAGCGACAAACGAGCGCTGCGTAACCAACTGAACTTTTATCGTAATTATAAGTCCCTGGTGTGGCTTGAAACCGATCGAGTTACTGCATTGAATATTTACATGAGTTCGTATGTACGTACAATTACATATAGTCTCACGATAATACAAAAAAATATTAAGCATAATTGAAGGGGACGTATAACCAATTATTTGTATAGTTTTTACAATAATTTTTGTAAATAATTTTGGTCGTATCGGAGCGTCGGTTTCTTCTCGTTTTAACAAAATGGGCGCGTGCATGTATCTAACACAGTACCTATTAGTACGAAACCAATGTTTTATCACATCACTGACTAAAAAAAAGTAAAAAAAAAATCGTCGGGAGTTATCTCAGTGCTGCCCTACCCTCCCGTAACATTCATTTATCTATTGTTTTATCTATGTCGCGGAGAACCTAACGGGTAACCGGGGCTCCGGCTCGACGTGCAGGACAAGGAACGGGGTGGTTTTTAGTCAGTAAGAGTCTGACACTCCCTTCCGCCTCACCCAGGCGGGAGCAGTCATTCGATGATTTTCCCCCCTTAAAAAAAAACCCTCCCGTAACATTACATGTCATATAGCTTGCTGCGTGCGTTGGGTACAGTCAGTTCATTTTACTTGCTAGCTTTTGTATGTGAAAATCTCGCTCCTATAGATTTCACAAAATCCTTTAATACTTGTAGCTTTGCCCCTGGTTTTGTTCTCATTATTTGTGTACAATGTTCATTATATGTGTTAATTCTGGTTATGAACGATCACTTTAAGAAATGTGTAGAAATAACCTTCACGACAGCATATCTATCCCCTCTATATAGATGGTTGGCAGGCCACAACTGTGCGCTTCTCACGTAGCTTTCTGCCTCGCACAGCGAAACTGTGGAATGATCTGTCGTCGGCGGTATTTCCGAACCGATACGACCTTCAAACCTTCAATAAAAGAGCGTATTCCTTTTTTAAAACGCCGGTACCGCACCTATAACTGCGCTTCCATGGGCGGTGTTAATCGCTTACCATCAGGTGATCCGTCTGCTCGTTTGCCTCCTATTCCATTAAAATATGTTTTGATTTTTTAAGGTCAAAGTCAAAATCAGTTCATTTATTCCAATCAGACCAAAATAAGGCACTTTTGGACGTCAAACAAGAATGTCAGTCCTCTAGTTGCTCTATTTGCTCGTTCAAAAGTGTAGACTCCTATGGAGAAGGACGAGCGAGAAACTGCATAGTTATTTTTTTCAATGAGTTTTACAAAACATTTCTTGGGTACATTGTTTAATTCCTTCTTCGATAAGGCCTACTAAGTCTGTTAATGTCCAAACACCTCCTTATTTTTAGCTATATAAATGGTTTTCTTCGCTATTTCCAAGCCCAAATCCCCAAAAGAGGGCAACGCCCAATTACCCCCGCACCCCCATCAAATTGCCAATCCCCAAAAGGCCGGTAACGCACTTGTAACGCCTTAGTGTTCCATGTGTCCATGGGCGACGCCGATTGCTTACCAAGCGATCCGTCTGCTCAATTACCGGCTTATGCCATAAAAAACGCACATGTATCTCCTCTAGTGTTACGACCATGGGCAGTTCAGATTTACCATCAGAGTACCAAGCACGAATAACTATTACATTCGTAACGTACACAAAGCACCGCTAATTAGTTAGCGGCGCTACACATCGACACAACTATCATTTACACAATATACATGTGTGGGTAATTTCATATCAATAGATATGTATAGAAACAATCGTCTATCACACACATCTTGGTATTTAAAAATCATTTTTGTGTCGGTATACGCAATAATTTAGTAAATAAGTTTAAATAAAAACGAGGGTAAAGATAAAATTACTCATAACAAACTTTGAATAAATCGAAATCAAAAATAATGAACGATCGAGCTATACAATACCCATATAAATATAGTGCTTTCTCATTGTAATTTTATGTTACTGAATGATATAAAATATTTCGATGATCTCATTTACAGCGCGCTTGGCGCAATGGTTATCGCCTCCAATTGTCAAGTAAAGTGCCGCCGGATCGATTCCAACATTCACATGTTGTTTTAGAATTAATTTATCAAATATTTGAAATTTGAAATTGAAATTAGAAACAATTAAATCTTTTCTTTTTTTTTCCTTTCCTATTGTTCTAAATCTTATGTTAATTTTAATAGTAAATACTTTAGATTTATTTATACCTATAATATCTTTTATTTATATTTTAGTTCTAGTTATTTATTATTTAGAATAATCTCATTTGCTTCATGCATTTCAACCAACTTAAATAAGATAAAAACAGTAAAAAAGTAATTAACTGTGATTTCTTAATGGTTCGATACCTGAGTATATTTGCAATGTTTGTGGCGACCATAGAAATCTCGAGTCATTTTATTTTACACGCTTATGAAGTAACTACCGACTATTTAAAACATGTTTTTCAAATCACCCGACTTACAAAATAATTGCGTTCTTAGTTGTCAATTTATGAGGATTTCATAGTTTATTGCTACACTACTTATATTCGTGTGCAAAGTTATTTTTATTTTTACAAGATGTTCCAACACCTATCAACATTTAAAAAGGCTGAAACCATTGTTTTGCATGAGCAAAACATAACTAACAATAACTGAAATAGCAAGGTGTTTAATGATATCGGTGAGTAAATAAGATACTACGTTGTTATTCTAAATAATATTTATTTCATTTTGTAACTCGACACACCTATCAATTTTTGCACTAGAATAAAATAATTATTGCAACTTATTATGAAGTTCAATATTATAAAGATATATTAATAATTTATTATTAATTGTATTGTAACTTGACTTGTTTTTGTTAGGAGTGTTTCTTTAAAACATATCTGGTTAGGGATTTTTATTCCTTACGCCACTACTTAATTATAAATTATTATTCTAACATTGTGTTTACTTATATTTATTATTATTTTTAAGTAACTTTAATTCCTGTAAAGTATTTCCTGGTATTTTAAATACTTATTTGTTTGGTATCAACAGAGGAGATCCATGCAGTTATGGGTGCACAGATATGCGGAGACCGGTGACGTTAAACATCGTCGACGTGGGCCTAAACCAAAGGCAAATTCATCGGCTCGGCACTACGACATCGTAGCCAGGCACATGGCTGATCCGTTCCTGCCAACCCGCACTACAGCGACAGCACTGAATGTTTTAATACAAACTGTACGGAGACACCTGCATTCTGGTTTAAGGTGCAGGAAGCCAGAGAAGAAAATATTGTTATCTGTGGTTCACCAGCAAAAGCGCTAAGAATTTGCTAAGGACTTTATTAATTTTGATTGGGCGAACAGTGTAATCATATTGAGCGACGAAAAGACTTTCAAGTCGGATAAGGATGGGCGTAAAATATTGTGAAGAAAAGATGGAGAAAGGTATACGAATTGCAACCTTCTGCCTTGTAGGATCAGTGATTGTATTGATTTCGGAATCAATTATTGAGCCTGTCAAACTCTGCCTTTATTAAAATTAACATAAAATAATGTTTAATTTTTTTAAGAATATTAAAATGCTGTCTAGAACATACGGTGAAGTGATGTTATTGTTTTGTGGTTAGAAATTGTCATAATTTCTTTCTATTCAACATGTTTATTCACTTCACTTTAATTTTTCATTAACAAATTTATTTAACTGCTTTCGAACTTGATTGACATATTATATTTACGCCCATCTTCAATTAATTTAAAGTTTCCCTGATTCTAAAGGTCATGAAAGTTAAAATCGTTCCATAGCATTCGTCACATTCTTTTTACTATCATACAGCCCACTGAATATTGAACCTTATAACAACCGTCGTAAAATAGATAATTAATGGAAGTTCAAACGACAAAAAGTCGCCCATTTCAAGAAATATTTTACATGTAATTTTTTACATGTTTTACTTGTTTATTACTGTAAAACTGTAATTTAATAATACATTATATTATTAAATTACAAAACAAGAATGTTGTATATTTGTTTATTACCTACTTAATAAAAAATGTTGCTGCCATCGTATTACCGCTGTACCGCATGATATTTCCCGATTCGACTAAGAGGTTTATTGTCATATCTATTAATTATGATTTAAAGAACTTTAAACTTAACATGTGGTATATAATTAATTATTAGATATAAATATTGAATAAAAAACAACATATTTGTATAATAAATAAATTAATTGTAATAAAAAGTAGTATTGTTTTATTTACCAACTCATTTGCTTCTTTTATAGCCTGATATTTATATTTTATGACAAAAAACAAAAAAAAAAAATAAGAAAAATAACAAGGTAAAATAAAATTAACTTTTAGCTGGAAT